TCTAAGCCTCAAAACTAATAAAAAATTAAATAACTCAAAAATACAATTAACATAGTTTTGTAGAGCAGAAAGAGTTCTATCGAATGAATACTTACCCGTTGGCAAACAGCAAACAAATCGTTGTAAAATAAAAGAAATTATAAAAACGCTATGAACTTATTCCCCAACCTAATATTATAGTTGGAAATATACTATTCAAATAATAGAATCTCTTAATATAGTACTGTTTTAGATAAAAAGTGTAGATGTTATAATGGGCACTTGTCGCCGAATCTAGTCGTTTGTAATGAGACTGGACATCTCCCAACTCGAATTTCCATTTCAGAGAAGATAGACTTCTATACGACGAGATTTTAAGCACAACCCGCACCAAGATGAACGTACTCAAAGTCATCGCTCACGAATTCACTCATCAATGGTTCGGTGATCTCGTCAGCCCGAAATGGTGGAAATACCTTTGGCTGAACGAGGGATTCGCCACCTATTTCGAACACTTCATTGCTCACAAGGTAAATACGATACTCTAATCCTTCTTAAAACAGACTTTGACCGTTATGTTTTTTGACATGGGATTTATAAGTGTTGGGACAGTGTCATTTGTTTAACCCCTTGCACTATTCGGAACCTCGGGAAAAGTCAGGCCAAACGCTGCTGCCTCGATTGTCGCGGTGAAAGGTGAGCGGTGGAGCGCGCGTGCCGAAACTTGAGACCTATCAATTTCAAAACTTTAAAAAAATACTTTAATTACTACATAAGATGAAAACAATCCCATTCGAGATGTTCATACTTGGTCCAGAACTAAGACCACGAGTCAGACTCGTGATATTCATGTTCGGGCTGAAATATCGAGTACGAGTCAGGCTCGTGATATTCATGTTTGGTCTGGAACTGAACAACGAGCCTGACTCGTGACATCCGTGTTTGGCCTAAAATTTTCATCACGAGTCAGACTCGTCAAAATAGTGCAAGGAGTTAATCAGCTATTGCTATCATGGTGGAAATACATAAGTCATGGTATTACGTAACTGATTGGAATCGGTAGTCAGATATTCTTGCTTATAACAGCCATATTGGAGCATTGAAAATGAAAAGTAGTTTTTCACTTAAAAAGTCTAAATTACATTTTGTAACTTTGTTTAAATATTTTACAACATCCCTAAGAATTACCAGCTTTTAAATTGACGTTTTCTCGGCTACAAGCATTGCACTTGATCCTTTGGAAGTCGATGATAGGAAATATTTAATTTTTCAGTATTACTATTCCAGCTTGTACAACTTTTAACAGCGCAGCCTAGCATTTTTGTCGTTTTAATCAGTTTTTATTTTTGAACACAAGTATTCATTTCTCGACATGGCCGTCTTATGGAATGCGCAGTAAGTGATGAAAATGGTACCACCGGAAGACTATCTTAAGTATTTCCATGATGTAAAAACATAAGGTGTGTTCTTCCGGCGTGTTCAAATGTGTCGCTGTTTGCGCCTTCCACTCATCGGCCATATTGGAAGTACGATGACCTATCGTTTATTTCAAACACGCATATATATTACTCTCCGAGAACCTAATTTTTGACATGTTTACGATTTTTAAATTCGCTCTGTTTTAATATGAAGTGTGATTGGTTAGAAATCAAAAATGGCCAACGAGTGGAAGTGTCCGTGTATAGATGGATGCGCAAGAACACACCTTATGTTTTTACATCATGGGTATTTCTACCATGATTGCTATCACTATCAGACACTAATTCCGTTCAGTTGGACATCTTTAAAGGCAAATTCAGTTGTTGTCACAATTTTCACACACTGACGTATTTTCTTATAATTTTACATGTAAATTTAACATAATAGAAAAACAAGCCAATGAGTAGAAATTGTGACGTGAACAGAAATTGGGTCATTTACTGCAGTA